TCACCTCATAGCCAGTGGAAAGTTACAGGGTGGTGAATCTGAATATAATATCAGATGTATTGACCCATTTATATAATATGTTCTGTTGATGAGACAGGGGCCCATTACAACAGGAGCTGCCATGCACAGGCCAACCGGCCTATTGCAGACTCCTTGTTTTCTTATGTTCTTATGTACATGCTTCAGTGACATTGAGTAGGTTAGTTATCCTTTATCAATGTTTCCCGTTCTCTGAGATTCTACAAGCGCGGTGAATTTAAATGTTATGTAGCGTAATATGAATTAAAAGGGGTTTTTAGGAATGACAATGATGTGCTCAGTACACCACCAGACCCTTTCTGGACAGTATTTAGCTCGTTAGGTAGTGGGCGGAGTAAGCTAGGCATTGGGTTGGGTGTTTCATTGACCAAATCGATAGTGGGAAGAAGGGTGAAACAACAAGCATGTCTTAACTAATTTATTCCTTATAAAACATATTGCATCCCGTCAGAATACAAGAAGAGTTGGCCTTCCTCAGAAGAACAACTATGACTTACGTTATACTGCCCAACAACACACGTCTTACATCAACTGAGTGTCATTAACACCTATACTTCATAACAATCACTGACCTCCTTACCTCGGTCATTCCTTCTCACTATAACACCAAACACATCAGACTGCACCACCTGTTACAGTATAACATCACCTGTTACATTACAAAAGAGTTGGCCTTCATCAGAAGAACAACTATTATTTTCATTACACTTCTCTTCATGAGCAGATGGGATACTTCCCAGGTAATCATACCAGTACTGTACTGGTTCCACGCCTGGTATTAGGAAGTCGCTCCACGTAGCGACCGCGAAACTTCTCAAGTATACAGTGATTTTCTCCTATCCTGGGTGGTGACATGTAGGGTATCCACAGATTCACAGTGGAGGTGCATGACCACTGTGAGCAGACGCACCCCACATGGTGCATTCCTCACAGTGGTGGTTTTGGCTGACGCTTGTGTGGTACCTGTTTGGTGAGAAGTCGGGGCATCACTAAGAATAATGCCTGAGGGGCTTTCATCACCACACACTAGTACACTATGACTTCACTTTATAACATCAGGCAAGGTTTTAAGATGTAAAAACTGCTAGATAAGCCTTTTTTTAGGGCTGAATATAGCACGATGGAGTTCACTGTCCTGTTTGGTGAGAAGTCTACTTAATGCTTATTACCATGCTACCTACCCAGCAACAAGCTGCATTGTACATCCAATACAATATGTATACAGTGAGCACATTGTAAGTTTCCTTTCTCCATCCCATCCTGAGTGTGAACCAATATCTCATACCCTTGTGCCCGGACTACAGTTTTGAGTTAATAACTCAAAACTGTAGTCCGGGCACAAGGGACGCTAACTCTGAACAAAAGCCGCACGTCGAATGTTCATAGCGTGGGTATATCCACTTCACTTAAAACTGTAATTAGGGATCCTCCCTCACACATTGCACTCGTTGAACACAGTCATAAGATTCTCTGATCGCTGTATAGTTCGTGGGTATGTCACACGAGATAACGAGGTGTATTAAGTTCACACCGATGCATACAAGATATTTCCTTTGAAGTCTAGTTTCTGGATCACTTTCAACACTTCACATCGGTCTGATACATTTATCCTTTTTCCAGATCATTGTTCTCATGTATTTTCATCTGATATCTGCAGTAGCTGTGTTCACTAATCGTTCACAGACGTAAATAATATGACCTACAAACACGATCTACACTTAGCCCTTATAGTACACTAGTCCGTATCAATTGGACTTCCCAACCATCTTATAGATACCTACAGTTCTCCTTAACGCTATAAGTACCTACACTTAATATTATATGACCGTACCTAGGTACAATTCGTATAGAACAAACATCAATATTCAGTAGGTGAGTTATCCTTTATCAACGTTTCCCGTTTTCTGAGATTCTACAAGCGCGGTGGATTTGAATGTTATGTAGCGTAATATGAAGTGAAGGGATTCTAAGAATGACAATGATGTGCGCAGTACAATCCACTTCAATACAAAACCTTGGAGGATTGGTAACACCCGATAACCTGTACTCTGATTGATTGATAAAAGAAAAGGAGAGAGATCTGGGGGGCAGAGGGGGGGGGGCACAACATTGGTCACATTATGATGTACAGTACTGTAATAGGTTATGCCCTAAAAATCCCAAACCTTACTGGTTCTGGGAATGGGAGGAAGGGGGGGGAGGGGGATGGTGGCAACAAAAAATAGGAACCCAGGTCAGTGACAAAGGCACCATAAGATCCGGGCCGAGGGAAACACAAGAGCTTCCAACACTGTTATAAACAGAACCGGATTTAGGCCTGTGGAGGCCCATTGGCAGCCTCTTTGTGGAGGCCCCCCTCATTATAACTACCCAAGAGGGTGGGGTGACGAGTGAAGCCATATGCAGTTATATTGAGGAAATTAGAACATTGAGAAATTTTTAATTAACTGTATATTTATTGATAGTGTACAAATTCCCAACACACACACACACACACACACACAAAAGTGAGACATAACTGGAGTCATTCATGTGGTTTCAAGTCGACCAGCCTGATATAGCTACTACCGCACATGTCAAAAATTTTCAAGAGACTTCACAGAAAAGAATATATTATTAGTTATTACAGAGAGATGATTCTTTGCATTATTAATCAGATAAACCTCTACTCAAATAATGTTTCTGTCCAAGAATGAATGTATAGGCTTCTTTAAGTCCAAGGTCAGATAGATTCAGAATACGTATTAACTCAACTATAAATAAATTTGAAGTTTTGCATCCAATAGTAAAACAAATAAACAATTTAATGAATTTGATAAAATTATAACAAAAGTATGAACATGGAAAAAACAAGAATCCAAATGAATAAACAAATAAATAAAATATTGTAATATGTGGAGGCCCCCAGATTGTGGAGGCCCCTGGGCAGCTGCCCACTTTTCCCACTCCTGAATCCGGCCCTGGTTATAAACCCTGTCTGAGGAAGTTAAGATCCCATCAAGGGCTTACAACAGGACACGTGAGGACATGATCGAGACACAAAATGGTGCCAGGGAACCGGGATACATCCACCTACCAAGATGAGCTAAAAGAACTCCCTACATAATGTGATCGCATGGAACAGCTTAACTTAACAGCTGGTTACGTCCGGAAACGTGTGGACCAAAAAGAATAGTCAATAACTGGACAGCTCAAGATGTTATATTTCAGTCTTGAATATTTGTTATTACTTTTACTTTGATCCTCTTCACCACTGATCGGCTCGTTAGCCGCTTGGACGATCGGCCACGTCTCTGATTACTTTTCCTTTTTTATCCTCTTCATCAAAAGATCGGCTCGTTAGCCGCTTGGCCAATCGGTCACGTCTCTGTTACGCACTGTTGGCAAGTACTGGGCATGCACCGGCTCCTGAATGTACCTGAACCCGCTCCAGTGTTAGTCAAGACTTGTCTTGAAAGAGCTCACACTCGGTGCCGTCACAACATTTTCTGGTAGATTGTTCCAAGAGTTCACAACCCTCACTCCGAAAAAGTTTGCCCTCACAGTTTTTTGGACTTGCGGCTTCTTCAATTTTGAGCTGTGACCCCTTGTGGGGCGAGCATCCGCCAGCTTCAAGTAAGGACACTCGACTGAGTAGTGCCCCTTGAGATGCGCATACACCTCAATTAGGTCACCCCTTGCCCGTCTGTAGTATAAGCTAGGCAAGTTCAGGCGCTCCAATCTCCCAGGGTAGCTGAAGTGCCGAAGTGCAGGCACCAGTCTGGTGGCCCTCCTTTGAACATTTTCAACCAACTGACAGTCCCTAGCATATCTCGGGGACCAGACGGGGTGACAGTACTCCAGATGGGGAAGCACTTCACTCTTGAAGATCGTTGCGAGGGACGGACCGTCTAGATATCTGAACGACTTTCTTACAAGAACCAATAATTTATTTGCCTGATTTACCTTCTTCTCGCAATGGCCCGAGAACTTCAGCTCATTGTCAACATACACACCTAGGTCTTTCTCACATTCAGTCTCAAATAGTGCAATTTCTTCATCCCGTTGGGACATATGATACGCCTCCTTACCGTTGGTACGCCCCAGGTGCATCCTCTTACACTTCGTGACATTGAATCTCAGCAGCCATTTCTTCGACCATTCTTGGAGCCCATAGAGGTCCTTCTGCAGCTCTTCACAGTCCGCTTGGTTCTTGATTTCCCGAAATAACTTGGCGTCATCGGCAAACATTTGTATGGAGGAGTGTACAACGTCAGGCATGTCATTTATTATAAACAAACAAACAACAACGGGCCCAGTTCACATCTGGCGTCGAATGAAGTTGGACAATAATTGGAGTCGTAAATGAGGAATTACATAAAGAGACGTATTGCCCTAGTGAATAATAATATTGCATATATATATATATATATATATATATATATATATATATATATATATATATATATATATATATATATATATATATATATATATATATATATATATTCTTCTCATGTTGCTGCGCAGGTTCTCAAAACCTGAATTTAGGGGGAAAAGGTCATGTTTGCTGCACATCAAATATTAATTTAAAAGATAGAGATATTCACACAAAATTCTACGCATATTGCATGTGTTCCTTAATTAAACTCCTTCATATAAACTACTTCGTTTGAGTTGTGATGTGAGCAACTTCTACTAATTTACCTTATAGTAACGCGGTATAAGATGTATATTAAAAGGAGTTGAAAACAATGATATATCCATAGCATGTTGCAAGTGTGTGTTGGTGTTGACTGCCACTTTTGGGGTTGTCAGGTGGGTGACCTCTGGGCAACTGCCGCGTGTGTGGACGACTTCAGGCCACCAGGTGAGCGGTTGCAAGGTTGCAGTGTGTGCAACAGTGTCCGCGCCCCACCAACCCTCCCTGGCGGCCTGGCATCCCCGCTCAACGCCATCTATTGATAAACATTGTAATCACGCTCCGTTACGGGGTATCACGGAGCATCATGGCCTTATCTCGATTATTTGCCACTTATAAGACTTAAAAACGTCCCGGAGGGGTGTGGAGCAGGATGCACATCACATGCAGAAGGTCAGTGCAAAGTGTCAGGGAGATAAAACGGTGTTTAGGGAAGTTTTGCTTTGTTCATGTTGCAGCGACTTTGCGGGGAGTCGGGACAGGTTATTTATCCTTGAAATCCACCTGACTTTTGAAATGACAGTAATTATGGGAGAACCTATCAATTTGTGCCGGGGAGAGAGTCCGTGATGGGCGGTAGGGGCGTGAGGGGGAGTAAGGGAAGTGAGGAGAGGAGCAGGCAGTGGTAGGGAAGAAGCAGAGTGCCTCCAAGTTATTGATTGTTGGAGGAAGGCGGCCGTGTGCCACCTCCACCACGGCTCCCCAACAATTTGCATCCCACACTCCTTCTATCCTCTCCCTCTCTCTACATCACCCCTTCATTACCTCACTCTCCCTCGTTTAGGTGATGAGTACAAACATCTCACTTTTTGGCCTCTTATATGTGAATGCAAGAGCAGGTTGCAAGTTGCATGCATGGGTGATCATGTCTGCCCTGATTTGCATATGTGAAACAGGGCACTTTGTACTGTGGTATTCGTTACAGTGGCATGACCTGTGTTGCTCTGTTACAAATGTATTTTTTTCAATATCTAAAGCTTTACTGTGCTTGCATGCAATATATTTCTGTCATCAAGCTTTCCTCTTGTGTGTGTGTGTGTGTGTGTGTGTGTGTGTGTGTGACCAGTGAACTTCGCTTCTTTTTTCTTTTAGGTTCCAGGCGAGGATAAGTTGGTAGACTCCAAATTAAAATGGTGCTGTTTGTAACTTTTTATTTTATTTAGTGAATTTTAGTGTAGTAGTACACAACAAACTTATGCACCAGGATTTTCAGTTCCCAAATTTGGTAATAGGTAAAAAAAAATATTTCACTAGGCTAGTCGTGGTTATTAAAAACTTTCTATGCCGTATTTTATTCATGAATGAACGTGTCAGAAACCGACCACACAAGTACAGTATGAGGGAAAGTTTAGAGCTAGAGTCACAGGCTCAATAGCTCCTTCCAGGAGTCTTCTGTGAGTATAGTTGAGAACATAGCTGTCATTCATCATTGCATTATGCTCATTTCTCTTATGACAGCCTTGTCAGTTAATTTATGCCTTAACACTGTAATCCATATTATTGTCTTGAAAGCAAGGTGATAAAATGCAGAACAATGTACAGTATAATTTGTGCTCAGGAAAAGACTAGTCTTAAATGCTAGACCAAAAACAGATCTTAGTTGCAATTTCTCAAGTTCAAGTTAGGACCAAAGAATTGTTTGTGCCATGAAAAAATTAAAAAGAAATAATCTACTTCTGCCACTGGCTACTTTCACGATACATTTTACCATCTGAGTACAGTATAACGTATGCCACTCATTACTGAAGTTCATTCTTGCTAATATCAGACATCATACGGAGTATTTATTTTAATGACCAACCGACTCAATTAATATAAGTGCAGAATAATGTTTGTCACATTTGTAGTCACAAAATTATTTATGTTTTGAAAATTTCTTGTTATTCAGTTAATCACCCAACACCACACATGGACCACGATGGTAACAAATTTTGAATGACTTTCTTGGGCTACTGGTATTTTGGATTGAATCAATTGCTGTTTGCCATTGTTTGTATACAATTACTTGTATGGATTATGTGTAGTCGATCAAAGAACTATCTGTACTTGAGGGGTCGATGAAATTCAGAATGAACATAACGGCTCTTGTTCACGGTAGGGTTATCACAAATCTTCGTCCCTTGTGTTATATTGTCTAACACAATTTTGTAATGATAGTTTTTGATTGACTGTACTGTACATGCTAAACCTATAAAAATTTGTTTGAGAGTTTTACTGAATGAATATATATAATTATCTCTCCAATGTCTGATGATTCATTTTAAATCACTAAAGTAGCAAAGGTGAGAGGTAGCAGTGGCCTGTGTAGGATCCTGCCATTATTCTTGATAATTTTGTTGAGTTATTTTGAATTCGAATACTGTTCTTGATTCCACAGCTTGGGCTGGTAGAACGTTCAATAAGTCTACCACCATCTGTGTGAAAAAGTATTTCCTTATATTCGTTCTGCATGATAACTTGGCGAGCTTGTGGTTATATCCTCTCGTGTTGGTGATGTGTGACATCACAAAGAAATGTCTCTGGTTCATGTTTTTTAGCCCTTTCATAATTTTTAATGTTTCAGTGAGATTTGCCCTACTGTATCTTGTATGAAGGGTTGTTCGTCCTGAGTCCCTCAGTCTACTTGGATCATGAGATGACATAGTTCCGGAATCATCTTAGTTGCTCTGTGTTGCACCTTTTCTAGGATGTTAGAGCTTTCTGAAAGTAGGGTTTCCATGCCTGTATATAGTAATGCAGACTGGGATGTTCTTGAGATTTGTATAGTTGAAGGAGCAATTTTCCTCTCTCTGTATTCAAAGGTACGCTTTATAATTCCTAAACTCGATTTGCTTTCCTCACTGCTGCCCCCACTTGTTGTGCCACCTTCAGTGAGTGATCTGTCACAATGCCAAGATCTTTCTCTTTATCAATAGTATCCAGTAAAGTGTTATTAACAGAATACAGTAGTTGTACTTAGGGTTGCTGTATCCTACATGTAAGGTCTTGCATTTCATGATGTTAAAGAGCATTTGCCAGTCTCGAGACCATTTGAACAGCTCATTCAGGTCTTCCTGCATTGTTGCGACATCGTCCTGACGTGCTACCTTCACAAAATCTTCATTTCATCCCCAAGCTTGACAATGTGGCTCGATATACAGTATTTTCATCTATGTCATTCATACTTTGAGAACCTTTTTCCGTTCAGAATGTACTCCAATTATTACCACTCTGTTGACTGTCTTCAAGCCAGTTGTTGATCTATGTCAAAATCTTCTACACCTAGAAGTAAGTGTTATCAGCTCGTGTCGCTTTATCATCTCAAACTGGCTCTCTTTTTTTTCTTGCACATATCTTTATCTTTTTGCTACTTATCTTGAAGCCTTTTACCTGCAAATATATTAGTGAATGCCAGAAAATGGTTAGGTAGTGAAAAATTTGGCTCAGGAGTTCGTTAATATACAGTACATATACCGTTTTACTACCACGGCATCCAGCCCACTAGTTAGTGGTCAGTCACTTGCTCGGCTCCCATCAAGTTCCCAGATACCGCTGTTTGAACAAATCATACTGAAAATGGCGACATCGCTTCTTCAGCTGATTGTACAGTCAGCCAAAGATGCACCGACCCCACTCTGGGTCTCGTGCTCGCAATTTTACGTGGCATTACTTGGTAAAGGAAGGCTGTCTGTAAAGGTGATTGTGATTGGTGGATCTGTTTCGGCTGTATCATTGTCAGGATAAATATTAAACAAACCAAAGGTAACATTTTTATAATAATAAACTATTCATTGTTATTTCAGATCATGAGAGGTTTCCAAATGTTCGTATTTGTTTAAATAATTAAGAAAATTTGATGTGAGAATCTTGTGGCAGCTGTGGTTGTAGTTGAGTTGCCAATTCATTAATATAATTTTCTTCATTATTTAAGCAAATATACGAAAATTTGGGAACTTCTCATGACCTTAAATAACAATGATAAGTTTATTATGATAAAAATTCTACCTTTGGTTTGTTTAATAATTATCCTGACAGTGATACAGTCAAAAACAGATCCACCAATCACCTTTACATACAGCCTTCCTTTACCAAGATCCAATTTTAGACAAAAAAGAAATGAGTAGGAATGGATGCAGAAATGGTTTTGGTGGTTAGAACAAGAAGCCATCTCTGTGGGTTCTGGGGTAAGCCTATTGTCTGATCAACTACAGTCAGTCACAGTCCAAAGTTTCGACACCCCCCCCCTGGCTGGGTGTTCGCCGAGGCCAGAGTTGAGGTAAGGCTGGGTGATCGGACGCAGACATTCCACCACCACAACACTCCGAGACTCAAAGCACACGAGCATGGAAGGAATTTTTTACGAATTTTGACATGACCTGAACCTGCATAACAAAATTTCATTCATAACATTGTTGGTACACATAACAATAGCAAGTTAGGAGTGAGGCATGAGAAACTTGGGCTGTTCTCAACCCAGTTATGAAATATGAATACGTATTAATAAACATCACATGTTGATGAACTAAAAGAATTGTGTTGGAAATTAGCTCCAAGTTACCAAACACCATGATTAGGGCGTCATAGATATTTATCATTCAGGTGAAAAATAAAAAAATAATCATATGCGTAACTAGTTGTAATATTGGTGACCTCTGTGCCATAACTCTTATAATCCAAGACACTATGAAGTGAAATTTAAAAACTAAAAACACACGGCCAGGCATCTACGCTGAGGGTCCAGATCTTCGGCAAAGTCGCTGCTCCGGACCAGACAAAATTGTTTGGGTGATACCATGATTAATGTGAATTGCAACATTCCAAGCCAAAATTCTCCAATGTAGTTACTGATGCATCATTAAATATTGTAAACATGACTACAGCTGCTCCCCGACTTACAATGGGGTTAAGGACCCAAATCCAGGTCGTAAGTCGAAATGGTTGTAAGTCGAAAATGCTTAAATAATACATGGAAAATCTAAAATGGGTGTCTCTTTTTCTTCTCAGCACCACAAAACTCTCACTTTTAAGCTTGCCAGCCATTTTAAAATGAATTACAAACGAAAATTTTGTCAGTACACAGCGCAATCACTGACGTTGGGACTTGAAAATGCTGTACGTAATTTGACAAAATTTTGGTACGACTGAGGCGGTTGTATGTCCGGGTGGTCGTAAGTCGAGTAGGTCGTAAATCGGGGAGGAGTTGTATATGAATTCCTAGTGAGTGTGAAACCATAATATTCCCAGGGTTATGGTAATATCTATACATGTATAGGCATCACCTTGTCAACTAACCGCTCAATCCCTCTTGACGAAATTCGGCCGCCGCCACCCTTCATATATGCTGCCCTGATGATTCATGTGTAATACGAGGACTCGCATCTAGTGGTTCCAAGCCAGTGTTTTGGGACCGGGCA